TGATAGTGGCCGCACTTTCTTGTTAAAGGCTTTAGCTAGTCGAGCTTGATAGCACTCCAATTTTTGTTGCATTTCCAATCTTTTCTCATCCAGGGCCTCTAACTCTGCTAGGCGAAGTTGAGCATTCTCTTCGGATGTGATCCCTTCTTGGATGTTTCCATAACTCTAATAGGATGTTTCCACAAAGTCTGACTTTTCTCTTTGACTTCCTTGGATGGTCGGCATGGCTTCTTTCTCTTTCTTTGCTTCTTTACGAGGCTGGCAAGTGTAAACAATGGTTCTCCTTTGCACCTTCAACGGACCATCTGCGGATATTGAAAAAATAGACTTCCTCTTCATACGTGATAGGAAAGCACTACATATTTCTTTGTCAGCAACAACTTCAAAATGATCCCGCTCCTCATGGACTTGCTCCTTATGTTTTGACAGTATCTTTCTAGATGACGACTTCCTTGTGCTCCCTAGGCGACAAAAGACAGAGGTCTTTGAGGTAGTGGAAACTCCTTTTAGATGTTTGGAAGATACACGGTCACCTTTGTGACTTAGCCTTTCAAACACTGAGACCGAAGGGGTTGAGCCTCCAATGCGATCAAATACTGAAGCCCGTTGTTTTATTTTCTTGCCCTTAACTTCCTTCATCTCCTCTACCGAGACATATTGTGATGAAGCTATCTCTTTGCTTCTCTTTGATGAAATTCGAAGAGGCTCTGCCAAACTGAACCCTAACCCAAACTTTGGAGTGGCGACGTAGTGCCCTTGTTTTCTCAACTTCATTTGGGACTCATTAAGCCCATGTATCTTTTCACCAGTGACTTCGTCTTTGAGTTCTCCTAGTTGTGATGGATTGGAGAAGTCATAACCAGACTTTTCAAGCAGTATGAAGGCCTTAGGATCATAGTGCCCTTTTATTTTATCAGCTTGGGGATTGCCTTTAGCAGACTCACAAGTCACGGATGGGATTTGTGCAACTGGGACAGTCATATGCTCCTTCAAATGTTGGATATCTTTATGACTCATTTGCTTCTTTGGAGTACATTCCTGTAGCAAAGGTTGCCCTTTCTTTCGACGCTCACGTGGAACATAGCGAAAAACCAGATGCTCCTCAGTCTTTGTTTGTATGTCACCTTCAGATGATGATAGCTTAATGGAGACTTCTTCCGTTCCCTTCTTAGGCGGTTTGGTGGTAGTCCATTGAGCCTCATTTTCCTCTTCTAACTTGACATCAGCTTTGTCATCTGATGATGGTTTCTCCACTTTCGGTTCACAAGAATCTAGGTAGAATTTTGCGTCTGCAAAGTATGACTCCGTCTCACTGAAAGGCTTGATGTCTGCATCAATTTTGACTATCTCACCATCTCTTCTGTACTTCAGACATTGATGCAAAGTAGATGATACCACCCCATTTTCATGAATCCAAGGTCGTCCAAGTAACAAATTGTATGATGTTTCAGCATCTATTACGTGAATCAGGGTGTTTGAATTCATCTCACCAATGGATAATCCTACGCGGATCATACCTATGGCTCGTTGTCCTCCTTGGTTGAAACCTTGGATTGTTAGGTTACTTTTGGATAGCTCATCGATAGAGATCCCCAGATTTTTTAGCACCATCTTTGGCATGATGTTGACAGCCGAACCATCATCAACAAGTATGCGGTTGAGATATTGTTCCCGAATGGACCCTACAACAAACAAAGGTCTATTATGTGGCTTAGACCCCAGCAGCAAGTCATCATCTGTGAATGAAATTGTTGCACAGCATGTGACAACTTTTCCATTATCATGATGTTCTTGTGTTTTCATTGGAGCAAGCTCATCGTTGCTTTTCTTTGTTTCGTCAGTACTAGAAACTACATGAGTTGCACTAACATGACCTCCATGAAGGAATTTTCCAGGAAAGAATTCATGCAATGTGATGGGCTTTCGGAACTTCGGCGATAAGGCACCATTAATCTTCTTGCTAATGGAAGATTTGATAATTCTTGGTGATTGTAGCCTATCTGCATTGCTCATCATCGCTCTTGAATTAGGAATTCGTATCCTCAAAACTGCCTAATGTCTTCGTTTCTTGTGAGTGAATAGAGTCCAACCCTCATCGTCTTTGTCTTTGGACTGAGTGTCCAGCTCTAGTGAACCTTCAAGAGTTTTCCTTAGAAGGTCAACTTCAACGGGCTCAAAATTTCCAAATTGTAAGAAGGCAGTGCTTGACGCGTTCTGCAACCTTGAACACTCCTTTTCTTTGAGCGCGTTACTTGCATGATTTGCTTCTACAGTCTCATCCATGTCTATGATGATTTTTCCTTCACTTACAAGAGTCATGATTTTCTCCTTCAAGACGAAGCATTTCTCTGTAGGGTGGCTAACGACGCGATGAAACTTGCAGTATTTCGGATCGCCAATTTTACCAATTTCCTCTGGCCTTTTTGATTCAGGGAGATCGATGACTTTCTTGGCGAGCAATTCATCAAGGATTGTGGGTACATATCTGGAAATGGATAAACCTTCGCCTCTAATTCCTTCAAGGTGGGACGATGTTTCTCCTCTTTGGGATATTGACTTGGGGTCTTATCCTCCTTCATATTTAGCTTGGTTGTGACTTTCACGGAAGTTTCTTTCACCGCCATAGATTCTTTGGTTTGGTGCTTTGATGCAACATTTTTCTTGAATTCCTTCTAATCAGCAAATGGAAATGCCTTTCCATGACTTGCGATGCTTAACTCCATGTCGTGCGCCCGCGTTGCAAGTTCTTCAAAAGTTCGCGGTTTGATCCCTTGTAGGATGTACAAAAGGCCCCAGTGCATTCCTTGAATGCACATCTCCACAGCAAATATTTCTGAAAGACGGTCCTTGCAGTCCAGACTTAATGCCCTCCAACGATTAATGTAATCCACCACGGGCTCGTCCTGCCTTTGCTTAGTGCCTGTCAACTCTATCATGCTTACAGTTCTCCGGGTACTGTAAAAACGATTGAGGAATTCCTTATCAAGTTGCTCCCAGCTATCAATGGACTCGGGCTCCAAGTCAATATACCAGTCAAATGCGTTCCCTTTCAGAGAACTAACAAATTGTTTTACCAAAAGGTCACCATGCGTTCCAGCATTGCTACAAGTCTCGACAAAGTGGGTAATATGTTGCCTTGGGTTCCCTTTGCCATCAAATTGATGCAGCTTTGGTGGTTGATAATTGGTTGGCATGGTTAGACA